CACTAGCTTGTGTCTGTTCTATTTTATTGTACGTTTTATTTTATTGTATTTTAGTGTACGTACATTACATTTTCATAAATGTATTGAGAGCCAGAGTTACGAGTAATATATTAATTTCCTTAAATTTTTGTCTCAGTGACTATTTTGGTTTTAAATTATATATTGCTCTAACGTCCTTCTTCTGTAAAATAAATATAATTTCAGTGTCAGTCGCGTGTCCCCGTAGCAAAATACCATACGACATAATGCTACGGAAATAACTAAAGTAAACTATTCTAGCTGTTTCAACACTGGTAAGAGTTCAAAGAGTAGTGGTAAGAGGTCAAGAAGACCTTGTCCTGAAGATTGCAAGCATTGTACTAGGCAAGAGGGTAAGGAAGTGGTATCTGTGAGGATGCTCACGACAGACCACCACAGCAACGAATGGAAGAACAGCCTACAACATGCACAGCAGGAAGATTCGGATACCAAGCCTTATTGGAATGGATGAAGGCCTGTGCTCCCAAGCCAATGGAGCGATGTCTCAGCGATGAGTTCGACCACGAAGAGCTATTGGGCCCAATGGGACAGCTTGCTGATTCAGGATGAAGTTCTGTGCCGTAAATGCGACAATGGTCGGGGAGACAGGTGTCATTTGTAAATGGTTGTCTCCAAAGCTAAAGTACCGAATGTTCTACAGCTGTACCATAATGATTGTTCAGGCCATCTGGGAGTTAAGCGAACTCAAGATCAGAGAACGGTTTTACTGGATCTACTGTGACGATGTCGTGGATTGGTGTCGCACATGTTGTGCGGCTGTGAAGGAACCTCAGACTTATAGTAGAGGTGCTTTGAAGTTGTACAATGTTGGTGCACCATAGTAGAGGATAGCCCTTGACGTTGCGGGGCCGTTTCCGGAAAGTGAAAGTGGTAACAAATATTTCATGGTTGTGATGGATTACTTCACTAAGTGGCCAGAAGTCTTCGCCATTCCAAATCAAAAAGCTTCAACAGTTGCAGATAAGCTAGTTCATGAAGTCTTCTGTCGTTATGGTGTACCATTAGAGATTCACAGCGATCAAGGAAGGAATTTTGAGTTTCAAATATTCCAGGAAACTTGCCGAGTTATGGGTACTTATAAAAAAAGAACAACTTCTTACAACGCGCAATCTGATGCAATGGTAGAACGGTTTAATCAGACGTTGGAGAGGTGCCTATCAAAAGTTGTAGAAAATCAGCAACGAGATTGGAACAAGCACATACAACATCAGTGACACCAGCTTTTGCAAACTTTGGAAGAGAATTATATGTGTGTTTGACTCACGACGTAATGAACGTAGTGATTTTGCAGCGGAATCTTAGACTATTACTGACTGCTGGTCGGTCTCTTACTCTCTGGTTCTAGCAGTGAAGAACCATGTCTCAGAGGCATGTCATCATTTGCAGCACGCACTGGCTGATAATGGTTGAAATACACCTGGCTGCGTCGTGTCGTAATCTCCTGTACGCCGCCCAACTGTAATGAATCCGTCTATTGACCACGGAGTCGAATTTGAATTTAACTAGTCGTATAATTTTTTATAGGTAAGCACACTGCTCAACAATTTCGAGGCATAGCATTTCCAATAACTACCAACATAGATGTGACATGAATATTATAACATGATTGTCTTCTCCATAACCATTCATTATAAGACCTATCCATTGGGATATATTATTGAGGTCTGCTGTCTACTGTACAGCTGTACTGCCATAATGAAAATAGTCGGCAATTTTATGGTGAATGATGTACTTGTTATTGATGTTGAAGTCATATCCTTTTTAGTCCTGTAACTTGAAATCATTCTTCCAATCGAACAGTGAAATTTTGGGAATATAACATCAAAATATCTTTACACTTATCTTCAGTGATAGGTTTCATATTCTGATTTTGTATTCAGATTGTGGCAACTATGGCAAATATCTCCCTAATAAGATGTAAGACGTAAATATAATTAAAAATTACAGTAATACCACTTATGTAACTTTGGTGGCAATTGTTATTTAAAAGGTTTATCTGTTTGTTCATTGCTTTATCTCTTTCATGTCAATGATCATCAATCCTTCCAGGATTTGCTATAATCACCATACATAACAAGTAGTAAAATTACAAATTTTGTACAACTGACTTCAATATAAATAAATTGAGAACATCGTCAATGTAGTCAAAGAAAATTAATATGCACTATTAAGGATTCCTCAAAAACTAGTCAGGTCTTGATCCAATTTATATAGTATAAGTACCTATAAAAATAAAAATTTATATAGTATAAGTACCTATAAGTATACCTATCAAAAAAGTTCACATTAAAAAATTACAGTGGAATTGAGAACCTCCTCTTTTTCTAAAGTCAGCTGAAAAGCTGTGTTTGATTGTTGTATGCAACATTGTACACCTCAAGGTTCGTGCTAACCTGTAGTGTAGTAACTAAAATATTTATTTTGTTAACAATCTTGAGATTCTGAGCCTACAAATATGGCTAAAGATAAACTCTTCTTTGCTTCAAATTTAATATATTTTATCTGAATTAGATCTATAATAAATAGTTAAAGTTACAGCCTATATACGTCCCACTGCTGGGTACAGGCCTCCCCTCATTTCTGAGACGGTTTTACGGCAAGAATGTGTCCGCCGCGCTGCCCCAATGCGTGTTGGCGAACTTCACATGTCTTCGAAATATTTTTTTTTATTCCTCAGACATGCAGGTTTCCTCACGATGTTTTCCTTCACCGCCGAGACGTGATAAATCAGCACTTAAAATTGCAATTAACAAATTCATTGTTGCCGGCGGGAATCGAACCCGCGTTACTCGCGTTCTGTTATATTTACAGCGAGCGTTAACCATCTGTGCTACCACGGCTCTGCCTATAATGGTCAATAGTAATTAAATGCGTATCAACATTACCATCACCCCAAAAAAATTTACCCTTCTTAATATTAGCCTCTTCCACATGTGAGAAAGTATTTATCATTATTGCAATGTTTGATAATGATAAAAGCTAGGCTTTCACGCTAAAATGGTTGCCTGTCCATCACGATCCTAGTCTAGGTATTTAAGGTTTCCCCCAACTCTGTCTCTCAGAGCCTTTCAATTCTTTTAATCAACTTCAATAAGTAATGTGATGTAAAATTTAATACATTAAGTATCTCTCTACATTTGTTAAACAATTCTATTGATATTTTTAAATTGAAAGGTTATCAGGCACTAATTAATAAACAAAATAAATAATATTTATTTAGGCTTTAACTGTGAGATTACATTCTTCTTGACAGTAATTTTATTACGATTAGTCGGTGTTTTTGTCTATTAATATATTTTACGACACATCTTTTCGTCAGGAATACCTCAAAACCTGAAAACTAAGTTGTACAACCAGTGCGTGTTGCCAGTGATGACCTACGGAACCGAGACGTGGTCCTTCAGTGCTGGCTGTATGAGGACACTCAGAGTCGCTCAGCGAGCTATGGAGAGGGCTATGCTCGGAGTTTATCTGCGTGATAAACTTAGAAATGAGGATATCCGCAGTAGAACCAGAGTGACCGACATAGCTCAACGGATTAGTAAGCTGAAGTGGCAATGGGCCAGCCACATAGCTTGAAGAACCGACAACCGTTGGGGAAAAAAGGTTCTCGAGTGGCAGCCTCGTACCGGTAGGCGAAGAGTAGGGCAACCCGCGATGGAGTGACGAGCTGGTAAGACATGCAGGAAGTCGATGGATGCAGGTGGCTCAGGACCGTGCTTTGTGGCATACTTTGGGGGAGGCGTATGTTCAGCAGTGGACTTGTGAAGGGCTGTAATGACGATGATGATGATGAATATTTTTTAAGTAACAAACAGCTTTTATAAGTTTACTTAATTTTATTAGTTAATATTAGTACAAAAGTGTAAATAATTATAAAACTATAAAAACTACATCTATAAATACCTTTTGATTAACACAGTTCCAATTATGTTTAATTGGTTCCAATAGGACAATCTAAAGTGACCACGTATAAAAATGTCAATTGTGCACAATGCCCAGGCAATTGTTATCCTCCGGTAAATAATAAAGACGAAAATTAATGGCCAAGAGACCAAGACACACATCAAGAATTCACTTGAGGCAAATTTAGGCTCTTGAATCAAATTACCAATACATCTCTAACAAATTCATATATCTTAAATATCATCTTATTTTTTATTTAACTGTCAATTAATATCACTTATGTTGTATTTTATAATTAAAGAATACAAAAATATGTCAACTTTACTTATCACATTAATTGAGGTTATTTATGGAATGGACTGTCAGCTCAATGCCTCTCAATACATACAACTTTACCAAATTTATCACATTTTAACACAATAAGAAAGATATAGTTTATAAGTATAATTTAAATATTGCATAGTTTCCAGTAAAATAATAAGTTAAGATGAATGGTGTAACTAATTACTGATATTTTTTTTATTAATAAATGCAATTCTTCAAAATTTAAATAAAAATTATGCTTAAAATTTGTTTAACAATATTAAAAGTTAATATCAGTCTAGAGAAATATAGAATTGATACAGGGTATTTTTGAAATTAATACATACAGAAAGAAAAGTTTAACCCCAAAGTTAAATTTTTATTCTTAGCCTAATATAATATAAACATCATAATTTGGCACAATTTTTAACTCTGTGAAGTACCTATATATTAAAAAATAATGTTTCTATGTCATGAGTTTAGTGACATCTATAATTTTTTGGCAAAACATATTTCACATTTTTCACACATGGATCTGTGACATGAGAAACATTTCATACAAAATGTAAAAGTTATGTATGCTTTCCAAAAAACCGTAAATTATAAAACATAGTTATACAAATAACTACGGAAATAAAATAAATAAAATATGGAGTTTACATGCACCACTAAATGTTCATAAGAGGAACTTGAATTATTGTATAAATTCATACATTTTGTAATAAAACTTCCTTATTATACTGAAATTAATTTTACATGAGTACACAGTCACAGCATTCTAAAGTATAGAAAAGGCATTTCATACCACAACTTTCCTCTTCAATAGTGGATGCAGCTGATCGAGCTTTATGGGGTGGTGGTGGGCGCAAATAGACACTGTCAACTTTGTCACCAACTTTGTCTTTCTCTGATGTTGCAACAGGAACTTCGTTTGTTGGGTCTTTATTTTCTAAATAATCATCATCTTTGTCACTTTTTTCATTTGAGTCGCCAGCTGCTTCCTGGAAAAGAAATTTGTTTGAACTTTTTTTTGCATCCAGGGAAATGGGAATTATATCATAATTCTATCAATTTCTAGGATTCCCTGAAAATTATTACATAATATACATTCTATAAGGCTAATAATATGGAATTGTTTGCAATTTTACTTTTTTTAATTGAAGCTTTAGCAGCTAATCAAAAGGGTATTATGGGGTCACTAGTTTTAGGGCTTGGTACTGCCAGTTCAGGTTTGATTGTCAGGGTTTCAGTATGAAGTCTATTTTTAGTGCATAGTGCACTGCAATCCAAGTGAAGACTGAAGACTGAGAAGAAATTCCTTAAAGACTAATTGTCATGGTTCTTTGTCCTTCACGTAAGGACACAATAGTATGTAATGGACCACACGATATGGGGCATTATTCATAATGCCCGGGCAATACGAATAACGCTCAATATGAGTAGGCAATGTGACAAAACTGTTGAATTATATAAATTGAATGGACATTAAAAATATAGCCCGTTACTAATTGAAGAGACTTATAAAAACATGGAAGTGTCAGCATAAAGTAGCAGCTCATTGCTGCTGCGTTTCGTATGGTGAGTGTAGAGATCCAGAAACCCTTTTTACTAGAAACGAGGCATTCCATCTTAGTCCTCACAGGTGACAACGCATCTGCATTTTGATTCATAATCGAGGATAAATGTAGATGTCTATGGGCCACAGCATCCACTTACCATCAGGTGGACTGTGTGCTCGTTTATCAATAAAAAAGTAGTAGTAGTAGTATGCTTATGACCACACAAATGAAATAAAACTTCTTTAGCTCCATCTGTATGTATGTATATATATATATATATATATATATATATATATATATATATATATATTTGGATTATCCAAAACAACTCCTGGGATTTCTACAGAGATAGCCTAAGGAGGAATTTGAAAACATTTACTAAAAGCATAAAAACGATTGAAGGTCTGGAGTTAGCGACGGAGACAATAACTATAGGTATGTGTGAAGCCTTCGAGGACAGTTGTCCTGTCATAACCAAGACCTCAACACGAAAAGTTACTTGGTGGAATACTAAGCTAAAATACCTTAGGGAAAAGATCAGGAAACTATTTAATATTGATGGGTCGAATATCCAATTCATATTCGGTATTCGGCATATTTGAGAGCTTTACAGGATATTCGGATTCGGCCAAATATTCAGCTAAATCACCGAACATTCGTTAAAAGGTATTCAAAGTGTCATTGTATTGAAATGTACGAATTGAGTAATGCCATGTCTTTTATAATTTTACTGTTGAAAGTATATTTTATTTATGGGTTAAATCTACTTGTATGGCGTTATATTTTTGAGGCACTGTAGATTAATTTCCAATTATAGCAAATATAAAGCTTGATAAAATGCTTTTGGAATCTAACAAGGAAACATTACATCACATTAGTACATTTCACTTTACTTTGGTCGTCAGTTTCTCTAAAGTAAGTCCAAATAGTAGATCTCCACTATTTGGACTTACTTTATTTTTATCATATAATTATTCAACGTTTACTAAGACACAATGAAATACTTTTTTCTCACAAAAATAGGTAAAACATAAGCATGTGCCCCAAATAATAAATTATAATTAATAATAAATAATAATGATAAATAGTAATAAGTAATTTGCTCAGTACTAGATGATGCAATCAGGTGTGGCGGGGGCGCGAGGGGCAGGATCAGAAGCTTATCCTGCGCGCTTATGCTAACAAGTTTCGACACAAATTGGTTAGGTACCGAGGTGATCCTGCCGAATAATGTTCGGCCGAACATTCAGTTCAGTAAAAATTTTACCGAAGTTTCATCCAAATATTTGTATTCAGTGAAATCCATATTCGGCCCATCTCTACTATTTAATAGGGCTAAAAACCAAAGTGCGAAAATTATGCAGCCTGAATAAAGAATATATAATAAAGAATATATAATAAAGTTTGATGTTAAGATTAAAAATTTGATGATAAGATTTCCAAACACAGATTTTCTCAGATTGTCTTTTACGATACAGGCTATACAACTTTGGAACACCCTCCCAATGATATTAAGAATGCAACAAATAAAAACAACATTACCTGAGGGTATTACTAACTGACATTATTTTTCTTTTTGCCTTCAAATATTTGTTTATTCATATATAAATATATGTATAAATGTATATTTAAATGTGTTGTGTATGTATGTACCATGTATATATATACACATTAACGTCTTTTACTGTTTATTTACGTCTTTGGCACCCAAGGTTGACTGGCAGAGAATGCCACATGGCACTAAATCTGCCCTATGTACCCTTTAACTTAGGGTGTTACATTTAAGTTTTAAAAAAAATAAAATAAACAGACACGAAAGAATTATTACATACTTTACTTTCTTCTTTGTCATGTTGTATAAATTCTTGCTTCTCATCAGAGTCTATATTGCCTCCAATGTCTGGTGGCAATCCATTTGAAACCACAACTGCCATTGTTACTGGAACCTTTGTTCTTTCTGGTACTGACAAATCTGTTTCTTCTTTTTTCTTAAAAGCTTGATGGTCAGATGAATCTCCGGACATACTTGAAAGAAATAAATCGTAAGAACCACAATTCCGTTTGGTGAATAATTTTACTTGTTTAATTTTCTTTATGCTAATAGTCTGAAGTGAATACAATTCATTACAAGTCTGTCGTGACATGCAAAAGGATTAAATATCACACCACAATCTAACATCCAGGAATAATGTAAACAAGTCTATAAACTCATATATATATAATACATAGGCGTAATCGTATAAATGTTCACTCAGTTAATTCACCTTATTAGAGCCGTTGACTCTACTGGTTCCACTTTTTCTCCGGACAAACGACGCCATGTACTAATGATTGTTTCAAAATTGTTTTCTTGCATTTTGGTTGGCAAAAAACAAAGTGACCAAAAAGTTTTCTTTTTACTACATATAGTAAAAGAGTTGCGAAGGTTTAATTCGAAATATTTATCAGGAATAACAAAAAGCAAAACATAGCACACACGAGTACTAATTTACTATAAACTTAGAATCTAGTTGTTGATTTATAATAAACTTGTTAAAGAAAATTAATCCGGAATACAGTTTCATATATGGTTTTCACTTTTGTTTACACTTGCATGTTTACTCTCTAGTATATATGCAGCAATCCACAGTAATCTATGATGTTTACCATAATCTACTAAACTAAGTAATTATCTGTGGTATTTACGTTACAGTATATAGATAATATAAAATCTTTGCGTTATACCTACATAGTACTTCTTATTAGTTTGTAGACAGAGAATTTCTCTGTCTACGCCAATAATGCAACTGCAACGATATTCGTTTCTTGCCGAGCTTAGACGAGTAGCGAGTAGGCACAAGTATATACAATCATGTACAATCAAGTAGAAAAATGAAAAGTTTATTATGGCATTTTATATATGTAAAAAGTCAAAGGTCAACATTATAACTACACATCAGTCTCCACGAAAACGGAACGATATATTTATAAATCATCGTTAGGTTTTAACTGCTTCTAAATAATATTCTGCATTTTATGTCCCCTTAGTTAAAGAAATAAAATATTTTGTATTTGTATTTTTGTATTTATAATTGCTGTTTAAACTATACTATGCGATAGCCTTCGATTATAAGGATATTTTACATGCAATAATTTGCAAAAAAAAATCGTCTTGTAGAAAATAACAAAATATTTACAACTTTATACAATATACTACGAATTACGCTATTTTAAATAGTCCCAAAATAATTTATAAAGTAATAAATATTTGCACGATATTTGAAAATATTATATACAATATTTTTAAAAGTACGAAAATAATCGCAAAAATTTAAAATTTTATAACAGGTAGTCGCTAACACTTTCGATATCGATAGTACACAAGACGACACAAGAGGGTGCGCGGGTGACGGGACGCAGGAAGAAACGACGTAGGAGTAGCGCGTTGCCCGTTGCTATGGTTTCGCTTCCCCGTACCTCACATCACACCTCACCGTGCCGACACCTATTTTTCGCTTCTGCGCACTTCCATTTAATTTCATCTTTCGTGGCGCGACCTATACGAGCATGTACTTGTTCAGGTGTTTTCGTTTTCGGCCAGAGTATTCACCTGTTTTCCACTCGATGCCGGTTTTTCGGCACGAGTAAAAAGAATGCTTGTTTGTATTCGTATTGGTATTTACATACTCGTCATTATTCGATTGAACCGTGAACTTTAAAAAATAATAGTAATAAAAATATCTACCTACTGTGATGAATCTACTATTTTTATAGAACTTTATCAAGGACAACGCGTGTTATGCGGTGCTAGAGATCAGTTTTAAATTAATGTTAATAAAAATAAATATTTCATCGTCATGATCATCATCGTCGGTATATCCCTTCACACGTTGACTGCTGAACAAGGAATACCACAAACCATGGGCCTGAGCATCTGCATCCTTCGACTTCCTGCGTGTTTTACCAGGTCATCGCTCCATCTAGTGGGGGAGGTGTTCTCCACACCCCCTAATAAATATTTGTGAGCCTAGAAATACAAAATAGACGTAAAGTCGTGGCAAAGAGACGCACGTCATCCATGTTTTAAAGATCTACGTTGAATAAATACAGACGAATACGTCATACTCGTCCACGAATAACTCGTCGAGTTGCTCGTTTCGTTAATCTAAACGTGCCATAACATGCGTAATCATGGAGGTTAGAGAACAGGAGAACGATCGCTACGTACTAAAGCATAGCCCGCCTGTCCCTGAAAATTTGAAGAGTTTATAGCTGCGCTGTCATCGGTAAGTAGTATATGCGAAATAATTTTTTAATTATTGACAAAAAGAAATATTAAAAAAGGTGAAATAATACAATAATAATAATTGTAAATCAATAATAATTAATAATTTATATTTGTAATATTTTTTTTAATATTTGTAATAATTAAAATTATAAAACACATAATTTATAATTTATTTATTAATAATTAATAATAATTCCGTTATTTTCTTTTTTTAATGATAATATTATAATCACTTCAAACTAGGGCACAACAGCCCGCTTTTAATCAGACAACTTAGCGATCGCAGCGCCTCACTTATTTTGTCAATATTTCTGGGACACCATTTTCTACAGCGATCGTTCTCCTGTTCTCTAACCTACATGTGCGTAGTGTCCTCTTATTAGTCTGTGGCTAAAGCGTATCAAAACGTAGCGTAGTCAGAGAAACCAGTAGAGAGAGGCTATGAAATTCAGGACTTCATAGGCGTGATTTTACTGACAGCTGTCGCAGAGATCAAGCTATCTTTTATGAACTATAATGATTAGCGTGGCCTCGAGTGAGAAAGGACGATAACGTAGTTTTAGGTTATACAATAATCTTTATGACTTTTAGACATATTTAGATAAAAAATTTAATTGTTCTAAGAACTGAACTGAACAAGATTCACAATTTTAAGCTCACAAAACACTTTTTTCTCACATAAACCAACTTGTAAACTCCTTAGATCGCTAAGAACTGTCAAAGTTATTTAGCAAACTATAGTTTGCTAAACAAAAATACCAGCACGGAGAAAGGGACAAACAATCATATTGCTCTGTCTAATTTCTATGCAAGACATATGCATAAATCTATATTTTTCGTGTGCGAATGCGAAAGAAGGCGTCAATTTGTCTATAGGTTTCTCTGTCTACGAATAAAGAGATAACCATGGAGGAGCATAGAATACTATAATACGTACATAAATAGAGGAGAGTAGTATGTACTGTTGACTAAAATATATAGGGTTACTTTGCAATAACCGGCCAAATTTGCAGAAATTGTTAAGAATAAGTAATGTAGCAAAATGAAGAAGAAGAATTAATTTGAAATAAAACTCAAACATTCTGTTCTTTTTATCTTTTAAATTAAAAATGCTTGGTAATGTTCCTATTATTTTAACTGATTTGACTGGTAAGGGTCTAAAATACACATATATTACAATATATTTGAGCTTAGGTTTAAAATTTGGCTACGCTTTGTAAAGTAACCCTGTATAAGAATCTAAGGCAAAATTTGATTATGAAAACGGTGGTTCTCTTTAAAACGTTTATAGTTAATTAAAGGAATAAGTTACAGCTATCTATGTCTATCTATGCCATATATTGTACGATGTTTATGCCGTAGCTAACTTGGTTAGCCATTCAATCAATCGGCTAGCTTCTTTACTAAACAGCGCCGTTCAACTAGCGGCCTGAATGATATTCAGCCATTGTATTTCAGCCGCTGCGTCTAATACAACATTTCATGCCTAATTATGTAATATGTGCCATATCACATAAATACACGCGGCTTTGGGGTGGCCCAAATGCCATCCCAGCCGCACCCTAACCCACCATCGCTGATATTACAAGATAGTTGCAATGTTGTATACAAAAATATAAACTAAAAAAGGTTAAGCTGTTAATTAAACGGCGAATTATGCCGGTGGGCTGCAACAGCTTGTATTATTTTTCATTAAACTTTGGAAAACACCTTCAAATTTGTTATTTGCCGACGCCATATTGATAGAGTTTCAGCTCTAGGTGGCAGAAAGTAGAAGTAAATTGAAATGAACAGGCTAGGCAAGTAATGAAACATCATTGATTTTTTTCATAAAATAAGGGTGACAAACGAGCACACAGTCCACCTGATGGTAAGTGGATCCTGTGGCTCATAGACATCTACATTTATCTTCAATTAAAAATCAAAACGCAGACGCGTAGCCAGCCCTGAGGATTGAGATGGAATTGTTCTCTACACTCACCATACTAAACACAGCAGCATTAAGCTGGTATTCTGTCGATCCAAGTCATTTGCCTAGCTGCTCGATTAATTGATTGAATATCATTCAGGCCGCTATTAGAACGGCGCCTTTTAGTAAAGAGGCTAGACAGTTGATTGAACGACTAATGAAGCTAGTTGGCTGCGACATATACACTGCTATTTAGCGGCAGAAATAGATAAGGCTTACCCAGATAAACGTCTAGGTAGAAAAAGAAGTTCAAGTTTTTTTATAATTATAAGTATAGTATATTATTATTTATGATATGTAAGTAAGTTACATATCATTAAATTTTAATTTATTCCAACTTTTTTGTGGTTTTATTGTTTAATTTTATGGTGACTAGAACCATGTTTCTAATTTTAGGATTTCACTAGAAAAGTAATAATATCATCAGAAAAATCTGATCTCCTTCCCTTAGCACAAGTTTCGGACGATATAGATATTTTCAGATCAGCACATCACACGTAGTGACTTATTCTTTGTAAGTGTATATCACAAATTTTTCTGCTGTGTGGCCAATACGAGTTGTGCTTTGACGTATACATTTCAATAATTAAAACTAAATAAAAAGCACCTAAAACAGTAATATAACACAATATAGCTACAAAATGAATAAATGACAATAAAATATAGTAGATAAATTAGAAATATTCAACTGCGAGAGAAGATCTTAAGCTAGCCTTGTTCAATAATGATAACGCTTTGACTAGGAATATTTTTGTAATTTTCAAGAAAGGCTTATTACATGGATTTAGG